TTCCAGTATCAAATAAATTGACCCAAATTTCAACCTGATATTCTCTTGACATAAGATACTTAGCATATGGTCAGTACTATCTTTGGAAGGGATCCATTTTACCAAGGCTGTAATAAAAGAAGTTCTTATGAGAGTATCTATGAGCAATGCATTAGAAGCTCAAATTACTCATTCCAGTCCCTGTTACATCACTAACTGATTTTTCATCATTAGATAAATCATTAACTATTTCCTTAAATTCTTGTTGTAGTGACAAGTTTGCTATGATGAAGAATTAAAATTACAAAATGTATAGAAATGAAAACATATGCTATTACTGTTTTTAAAAGATGTATACTAAACTTAGGAATAAATAACATGGAAAACAGGACCCAAATCCAAAGATGTAAGTATTGTCTTAGGAACTATAGATTTATGAATATGCTTATTCAAACTATTTTTATAAGGAGATAGAATACAACAAAATCATACATTTATGAACATCTAGTCAATTATTTGTGGTCTGTGGTGGAAAAAAGGACATGGTTTAACATACAGCATAGAGTTGGGAAGCACTGTTCCTAATATATTTTTAAAAGTTGAAATATAAGCTAACTTCTGAAACAGATCTGTGAAATAGTTAAAAGAGCAATAAAAAACTGACTGTTCAATACTACTGATCAATCATTTCTTTAAACATTCATTAGTTTTATTCTAGAAAGAGATCACCAAAAGATGACTTCTAAAATTCTGTCAGGATCTCAACAAATGAGACTATGACCCCATGGGAGTCATAATCCTCAAGGCAGACAAAAATCAAACTACTATTTTTAAAAACACACACTGTAAAGAAGAGTACAAAGGAAATGAGTCATTATACTGAGGCGAGATTTACTATCTGTTCCAAGTTTTAAAGCATCCCCTAGATCTGGTCTTCTAAAGCTCCCCAAAATGTTATGTGAAATACTGCCAATATACTGCAGTTACATTAAGGGCATTAAACAGGTTCTACACGAAATAAAAATTTGAGGGATAGGATGGCAGAATGAAAAGAACACAGATTTGGAATTAGAATACCTAGATTTACAACACAGGTCTGCAATGTGCCAGGTTACACGATGGCTGAGTTTAGACCTCTTCTGTACCACTGCCACCTCTCAGGCTTGCTGACGTTTAACACACTTATGTTTATTATAACTATGTAAATGGTTTCACAATTAACCCTCAAACAAAAGAAAGGACATTTAAGATATCTTACCTTTGGAAATCATTATTTGCATACACTACAAAACTGCAAGGGGATGACTTTGGTTCTGCTGGGCTGTCAGTTCTTAAATTCTGTGCTAAAACTTTGCTGTGAAACACTGAGATGATCACAGTTCACTGTCTAAGAAGGCATACACAAATAACAAATTTCCCAAGATTATAAGAAGCTGATTGATTTTGTCTTCTATAGCATTTGAGATACTACTGAATAAGGACAATTACACAGCATCGGGGGATAAAGATTAAGAAAATGACATCAGGATTATATTTTCAAATGGGCAAGAATATAGGGTTATTTTCCAAAAAATTTTAGCTCTAGAAGAGTAAAAAATTACTCCTTTACCATGAATCAAGAGTTCAGAATCCTTGTTTAGCTCATAAAGTCGAAAGGCTTCTTCTAACTCCAACTGAGATGATACTGTACATGGGTCTCCTAAAAAATATAAAAAAGAGAGTAAAGCTCACTTTTTATACCCTCTAAATGTGATTAGCAAACAATTTCCACTTTATAAAATCTTGAGGAAAAACAATTACATATACATGGAGAAATATTGACAAGAACAAATCTTTAGATACTTATTTAGACAATTCTATTCTCTGACGCAGGTTAACATAACTTTCATTTCTATTTCTACAAAATATTACATGAGGTTCATAGATACCAAATTTTATACATATAAAACCACTTAATTTTCAATAATGTATATATTCAAAATACAGCAAACAGAATCTATACTGACCGCATTTTTAGATGGTCACTGCAATATGATTAATGGCCAGGAATAAGCTTTCTGTTACCTGTTTCTTTGAAAGAGGAAGTGCAAGTGGTTTCACTGCCACAGTATGGTCAAGTTGAGGTCTCTATTTAATGATTTTGTCAAATTTTCCTTCATTGGAGAGCCTGCTCAAGAGGCTCACAGAAAGGAAGCACAGCTACTAAAGTACCGTGGACTGAAGGACAGTTCTACTTGACTGCTTTTACGTGTAAATGCATAGTTCTGTGTAGAGAGTGGGAAGGAAGAAACACTTCCCTTAGTCAACTGGCCAATGAACCGAGCCATCCCTGGAAATCAATGAGATGGTACGTCTTCCCGCACAATGGCATTTCTCAACGAAAAAGTCATTTCGAAACATAGTTGGGGCCTGAGTTGGGTCGTCCACACTGCCATTCTTTTGCTCACTCCTGTGGTTACACCAAACATTAACATACATGAGATGCCGTCAACCCTGTCAAACCTCAGTCACTCTCAGCAAGGGAACTCAGTCCAGTACTCAAGAAAGTGAAGGCACCTCTTTTCCCACTAAGTCAAAGAAATGAGTGCCTCTGTTCTTTTCTCCAACTTGGCCACTGAATCCCTACTTCTTTTTATCTTCTCTGGGTATTATTCCAACAGTTCTCCTCAGCCTCATTTTCATTTTTTCCTCCCTACCACTAGCTCTTCTCAGGCAATAGTATGTTTGAGTCTCCCTCTCAAAAATCTTCTCTCCTGCTCAGGGTGCCACTCCATTCATTCTGTAGCCACATGTCTCAAGAGTAAACCGCCAGCTGAAAATGGAGGAGCTGAGTGAGAAGAAGGGAAGAAAAGGGGCAGGGTCTTTGATTTTAGACTTCATACTTTTGTATTTTTTTCATCATAAGTTTATAATCTTTCAGATTTATTAGAAATAACTTTTCTTAATATCAAGAGTAATCCTACCTCGTTTTCTCCATGTTCCTATCTTCCATGCATTTCTTAAAATTTTGCTACCATGTTTTAGTACTAACACTACTAAAACTGCTGTATCTAAGGTTGTGAAACAGCTGCTGAAATCAGTGGCATGTCTGCTTTCATTCTGGTTGACTTCTGTATACCATCTAACCAAGTTGTCCACTGACTATTTGCAGAAGCTCTGTCTGGGTTTTTAAAACACCATTCTCCTGATTCACCAACTCTTTCTTTTTTTAACTTTTTATTTTGGACATTTTCAAACATATTACAAAACCCTGTTTTGCTTGCATACTCATTCCCTTAACCCCTTCCACCATATCATTTTGAGCAAATACCTATAACTCTAGATAAAAAGTCCTTAATATAATCACAATATCATTACACACCTATAAAAACTAACAAAAATTCACTACAAAATATTCAAACATAATCATATGTAAAAGAATGAAGTTGAACCTTTATCTTATACAATAAACAAAAATTAAATCAAATTAGGTCAAAGACCTAAATCCAAGAGAGAAAGCTTCACGACACTGGATTTGGCAGTAATTTCCTGGATGTGACATCAAAAGCACAAATAAGAAAGAAAATAGATAAATCAGTCTACATCAAAATTTAAAACTTTTGTGCATAAAAGGACACTATTAACACAGTGAAAAGACAGCCCAGTAGAGAAAATATTGGCAAATCATATATTGGATAAGAGATTAATATTCAAGATACATGAAGAACTCTTATAACTCGCAAACAATGACTCAAACCCCCCCAAATAAACAAATGAGCAAAGGGTATTTCTCCAAAGAAGAAATGCAAATGACCAATAAGCACATGATATGCTCAAAATCAATAATCATTAGGAAAATGCAAATCAATGAGATACCACTTCAAACCCATAAGGATGGCTATTGTAAAACAAAAACACACAGACACAAGTGCTCACAGACAATAACAACTGTTGGCAAGGATGTGGAAAAACTGGAACCCTTGTGCATTGATGGTGACAACGTACAATGATGCAGCTACTTCAAAAAATAAAACATAGAATCACCATATTATCCAGAAATTCCACTTCTGGAACTAAAAGCAGAGACTCCAACAGATATTTGTATATCCACATTCAGAGCAGTACTATTCATAATAGCCAAAAGGTAGAAGCAACCCAAGTGTCCATCGACAGATGAATGGGTAAACAAAATGTGGTATATACACTTGGCCCTCCATTTCTATGCATCCTGAATCCATGGATTCAACCAACCATGGATTGAAAATATTCAGAAAAAAATACAGGAAGTCCCCAAAACCAAAACTTGAATTTGCCATGTATTGGCAACTATTTACACAGAATTCACATTGTATTAGGTATTATCATCTGGAGATTCTTCAAAGAATCTGGGAAGATGTGCATAGGTTATATGCAAATACTACACCATTTTACTTATGAGACTTGAGCATCCCCAGATTTTAGTCTCTGGGAGGCCCTGGAACCAATCCCCTGAAGATACCAAGGGATGACTATACATACAAAATATTATTCAACCTCAAAAAGGAAGCAAATTTTGATACGTGCTACAACATGGATGAACCTTGAAGACATGGTAAGCGAAATAAGTCAGTCACAAAAAGACAAATATGGTATGATTCTACTTAAATGAGATACCTAGAGTAGTCCAATTCATAGAAACAGAGAGCAGAATGGTGGTTGCCAGCTGCTGAGGGGAGAAGGGAATGAAGATTAGTTGGGTAAAGAGTAACTTTATTGGGTAAAGTTAATGGGTAAACAGTTTCAAGTTTGGGAAGGTGAGAAAGTTCTGGAGATGGATGGTGGTGATGGCTGCACACCAAAGTGCACCTGGACTGGCTCTATCACAGCATGAACTAAGACAAAGCCACAAAGTGGTGCTGTGCCAGTTCTACGCTTCAACCTTATAATGGTCTGGCATATTTTGCTTTTTTTGCTTTTTGGGAGCACCATGTAAGAAGTTCAGTTACCTCTGATAGTAGAAGCCTTGAGACTACACAGAGAGGGCAAGAGAACCTACATGCTAGCGTCCCAGGTGAGCCCCCACATGACTCCAGACCCAGCTGCCACCTGATTGCTATTGCATGAGAGACCCCCAGTGAGACCAGCAGAGCCAGTCAACTTACAGAAGTGTGAAAGAGTGTAAAACAAAATGGTGGGTTTTTAAAAGCTCCTAAGCTTTGAGGTGATCTGTTATATAACAAACCATCTTTCAAGTTGAATCCTGAAATTCTGTGTCTCTTACAAGACCCAGGACAAATGCCACCTCTTCTGAAAAGCTTTATCTAAGGAGGTAATGTTTCACATTTTTTTAAATGTTAAAAATAATCCACTAAATTTTAATAACAACTTTATCGAGATATAATTCACATCACATTCAATTTACTCATTTGGAGTGTACAATTCAATGGTTGTTAGTATGTTCACAGAGCTGTGTCACTATCACCATAATCCATTTTAGAACATTTTCATAACCCCTCTTCAAAAATAACCCTTCCAATTAGCAGTCATTCCCCATTTCCCCCCAACCTCTCCTCCCACCGCCAGACCTAGGCAACCATTGATTATTTTCAGTCTCTATAAATTTGCCTTTTCTCGACATTTCATATCAAATGGAATCACACAATACATGGTCTTTTATGTCTAGTTTTTTTTCCTTAGAATGTTTTCGAGGTTGATCTAAGTTAAAGCATGTATCAGTACTTCAGTACTTTTCCTTAGTGAATAATACAGTAAGTATTCCTGAACTGAAATATCTGTGCTTGAAAAACTTCTCATAATTCCTTGAAATAGAACTGATTGGTTCAAAGTGTGCCCACTTAAAATTCTGAGAATTATTTCAAAATTTTGGAATGACAGTAACTCCAAAAAGGTTATGACGTATATACTCATCAGCAGCGTATCCTTCCTAACTCCCTACAGGTAACGATTAAGTTTTAACTATTTTCTAATCTGATAGGTGAAAACTGATGTCTTACTTTAAAATCTTTGTTACTTTACTTACTAGTGATCCCTGAGCTTTTTTATTTATGAATTAGCTATTTTCACCTCTGTAAGTAGATCCCTCATCTATTTCTTTTGATTAAATTATTTCATATTAAAGATAGCAATCCTTTGTAAGTGCTGCAAATATTTTCTCTCAGTTGTTACTACTCTTATATATGTGATTATGGTGTTTTTCAATATACATAATGAGGAAAAGTCCTCTGTCTTTACATTTCCTTTTTCAGAATATTCCTGTTTATTCTTGAACATTTATTTTTCCAGATGAAATTGTCAGTTTTTTAAAAATCCTTTTAGAATTTTTTTTGGGAACTATGCTCTTTATAAATTGATCTGTAGGGAGTTTGCTTTTCACATGTTACTTCTTCCTAACCCCATTATTCAGGTTTTGTTTATGGCACCCAACTGGGTTTTTAAAGTTTTCATTCCATGGTTTCTATGTAGTTCTTTAAACTTAGTTCCTAGATTAAAAATAAAAAAGTATGTAGTTACTATGCATGAAATCTTTTCTTCTAATGTATTTTCTGATTGAGAATTATTTTTATAAAGGAAAGCTATTGGTTCTCTCATATACTAACTTTATACTTGTCTTAGTGTTACAGATAACTTAAGAGGCTACATGAAAAATAGATCAATATGATTCAACTAGACTGCAAAGATAGACCAGTTTTAGATCAACACTCAGTACACTGATAATAACAA